GCGCTCTCTCTCTCTCTCTCTCTCTCTCTCTCTCTCTCTCTCTCTCTCTCTCTCTGTGTCTCTCTGTGTGTGTTTTTCTCTCGCTGTCTCTCTCTCTCTCTGTTCGCTGTGGTGGGCGTTCCACATTCCTGTGCTCATTTCACAAGGCCGAACGCTCTCTCACTGTTTTTCCTTCCCTCCTCTCCTGTACATGAGAGAGAGAGTTTGAGGCCCACGTCGGCCCAGGCAGTCTGCCCACTTTAGTGCGTCCGAGTTAGGCTGAGTTTAAACTCCAGCCCCAGGATGAGCCGGGCCTATATTTTGTCTCACAGCACTGAGAAATGCTTCTTGGGTTAAATCACTCGCTGATATTGTTTTTCTCTTGTTTATATCGTGACTTATTTGTGCTTTAGTCTTTTCCATGTGCTGCATGTTAAAGTCTCTCTCTCTCAGCCATGTTCTCATTTCTTCTGTTAAGTGTGCTAAATGTCTCTCTCTAGATCAGGATCAGAGACCCTAATCAGGGAGGACGTGACATCACAGAAGAGATCATGTCAGGAGGTCGCAGTGGCTCCACTCCCACGCCTCCACAGGTAATGAACACACACCTGAACAGCTGAACCAAGAAAACCATCGCTTCGTCATCATTTACTCACACTCATGTCAGTCCAAATGACTTAAAAGTGAATGTTTTGTCATCATTTACTCACACTCATGTCAGTCCAAATGACTTACAATTAAAATTTTTGCATAAACTAAAAATTAACATGATTTGTTATTTACTCACTCTCATTCCAGTTCAAATGACTTCAACTTTTTTTTTGTCATTTACTCTCATTTTGTCAGTCTAAATTAATTTTTAATTTTTGCATGAAGTAAAAAATAATGCTTTATCATCATTTACTCACTCGCATGTCGGTCCAAATGACTTATTAGTAATTTTAATTTTGCATAAACTAAAAATTAAAGGTTTCGTCACTTACTCACTCTCATGTTGGTCTGAATTACTTATTAATAATTTTCATTAACTAAATTTAATTTTTTTGCATTAACTAAAAATTAACATTTTGTTGTCATTTTCTCACTTTCACGTCAATCCAAATAATATATTTTTTTTTTTAATTGCATTAACTAAAAATCAACATTTTGTCGTCATATAATTTTCATTAACTAAATTTAATTTTTTTGCATTAACTAAAAATTAACATTTTGTTGTCATTTTCTCACTTTCACGTCAATGCAAATAATAATTGTTTTTTTTTAATTGCATTAACTAAAAATCAACATTTTGTCGTCATGTACTCACTCTCATGTCGGTGCAAATGACTTGTAAATAATTTCCATTTTTGCATAAGGTAAAAATTAATGTTTTGTTAATTTACTCACTCTCATGTTGGTTTTCATGATTTATAAATGATTTTAGTTTTTGCATAAGCTAAAAATTTACGTTTTGTCATTTACTCTCATGTTGTCAATCTAAATGAGTTTTTATTTTTGCATAAAGTAAAAAATAATGTCATCATTTACTCTCATGTCAGTCTAAATTACTTAATAATTTTCATTTTTGCGTAAACTAAAAATTAACATTTGTTCATCATTTACTCACTCTCATGTCAGTCCAAATGACTTATAAATAATAATTCATTTTTGCATTAACTAAAAATTAATGTTTTGTTAATTAACTCACCCTCATGTTGGTTTTAATGATTTATCAATAATTTTAATTTTTGCATAAACTAAAAATGTTTTGTTATTTACTCTCATGTTGTCAGTCTAAATGAGTTTTTCATACATTTTTTCAATTGACTTTTCAGATTTTTTAGCGTAAACTAAAAATTAACATTTCATCATTATTTACTCACTCTCATGTTGGTCTAAATGACTTGTTAATATTTTTTATTTTTTTTGCATTCAAAATCAATGTTTTTTCATAATTTACTGTCATGTCAGTCCAAATTACTTAGAAATAATTTTCATTTTTGCATAAAGTAAAAATTAACATTTTGTTGTCCTTTCCTCACTTCCTCACATCAGTCCAAATAATTTTTAAAAAAAGTTCCTAAACTAAAATGAATGTTTTGTCATCATTTACTCACTCTCAAGTCAGACCAAATTACTTATAATTTTCATTTTTCTGTAATCACTCTCATGTTGACTTAAATGATTTATAAATAATTTTTGCATAGATTAAAAATTTACATTTTGTCATTTACGCACTCAGTCCAAATGACTTTACAAATAATACATTTTCATTTTTGCTTAAAAATCGCACACAGCCCAACGGTGACAATGCCACACCTGCAGTCGCCATGACAACCAGAGTGGAGTTTCCCATCCCTCCAGGCGAAAGCCCGATACCTGATGCCCTGCCGACTCCGCCCCCTACCAGTCCGATAAGCGATACGGTAGATGCTCCGCCCTCAGCGCCTGCAGACGACACCCACACAACGCCCACTGTAGTGGAACCGCCCGCCTCGAACGGTGCTGAAGCCACACCCACTACAAGCAAAGAGGAGGGGCCTGTGACTGTAACGCTGCTTGTCGCTGCCCCCCAGGCAGAGCCTTCGCTGGAATCACCAATAGTGCAGCCCGAAGAGCTCCAGCTGTTCAACGGCGTCCCAGCAGGCTCCGCCCACAGAGACGTCAGTCCTATCGCCGAGCCGGACGTCGCGAAAGAAGCGCTGCCGTATACCGCCGATATTTCTGATAGGACTGTCAAAGAAATCCCTCCTCAGGTTGTCAAGGAGACTCCCGTTGCAGTTAAGGAAGTGCCAGCTCCTGTTGTCAAGGAGCCTACTCCTCCGGTTGTCAAGGAGACCCCCGCTCCTGTCGTCAAAGAGACGGCTGCTCCTGTTGTCAAGGAGACCCCCACTCCTGTTGTCGAGGAGACGGCTGCTCCTGTTGTCAAGGAGACGGCTGCTCCTGTTGTCAAGGAGACGGCTGCTCCTGTCGTCAAGGAGACCCCCGCTCCTGTCGTCAAGGAGACGGCTGCTCCTGTCGTCAAGGAGACCCCCGCTCCTGTCATCAAGGAGACGGCTGCTCCTGTCGTCAAGGAAACCCCCGCTCCTGTCGTCAAGGAGACGGCTGCTCCTGTCGTCAAGGAGACCCCCGCTCCTGTCGTCAAGGAGACGGCTGCTCCTGTCGTCAAGGAGACTCCCGCTCCTGTCGTCAAGGAGATGGCTGCTCCTGTTGTCAAGGAGAAACCCACTCCTGTTGTGAAGGAGACGGCTGCTCCTGTTGCCAAGGAGACCCCTGCTCCTGTCGTCAAGGCGACTGTCCCTGTGGTTGCCAAGGAAACACCTACACCTGTTGATGCGGAAACCCATCCGCAGGTCACCCAGGAGGCTGTTGTCAAGGAAATGCATGGTGTCAAGGAGACCCCTGTCGAAACTCCTCCTGTCGTCGAGGAAACACCTTCACTCGCTGCCAAGGAAACCCCCGAACCACTTTTCAAGGAAGCCACTGCCCCTTCAGAGGTCATTTCTAAAGCCACGCCTCCTCCGATGGAAGGGCATGAGGACACGCCCACTACACAGACCACTCCCTCTGAGAGTTCTATGCAAGGTATGAGTCGTAAGGCAATCGCACACTAGCATACTACTATTACTATTTTTATCATTTGTATGCTAGTATGTGAATCCAGATGTTGTAAAATGTACATCATGCCAGTTTTGTTCATTTACAGTTATAGTACTTATTACTATTTTGAATTAACTTCTATTTTATATTTTATAGTTTATTCTATTATATTTTAAGTTTATTTTTATTTTATTTTTTCATTTTCCAATTTTTAGTTTAAATTGAAGTAATTTTTTTATTTAGATTTATTTTTATTTCAGTTTGTTTTAACTAGTATTTCAACTTAAAATTTTTAAATGTTGCCATGGCAACTAACTGAAATAAATTATTAAGTAAATTTGAAGTTTTTCATGTAATATTTCTATTTTATTTCAGCAGTTTTAGTTAAACATACTACATTTCTGAGGTGTTGCCACAAGGGTAGCTATAGTGTGCATTGTGTAAACTAAAAATTAATGTTTTGTAACATATTATAGTACCGGTGCAATTTTAGTATTATTCATGCACACTTAAAGTATTTATTAATATTTTGATTATTTATTTATTTTGTATGTATTTGTTTTACAGTTTTTATTTTAAATTTAGTTTTAGTAATTTTATTATAACATTTTTTTTTTTTTTTTTTTTTACTATTTCAGTTTCAGTTTTAGTAACTTTAGTACTTAGGCAACCATTTTAAATGTTGCCTTTGGCAACTAACAAAAAAAAATGTGTGTTTCGTCTAATAGTTTTTCATCTAATATTTTATTTCAGATTTCAGTAGTTTTAGTTTTTAGTTGTATTTAAAAACAGCAACACTAAGTACTTGGTATGTTGCCACAAGGGGAGCTATAGTGTGCTTTGCGTAAACTAAAAATTATTGTTTTGTAACGTAATTTAGTATTATTTAAATATGATTATAGTATTTATTTATATTTTTAATTTTTTTTTACTTTTTTTTTTTTATTTTTTTTTTTAATTTTTATTATATAGTCTTTTTTTAAATATTTTTATTAAGCTTTATTTTTATTTTAGTTTATGGTTTAGTAACTTTAGTACTTCAAGAAATTTGAAATGTTGCCTTGGCAACAGTGTTTGTTGGATGTGCACTTCAGAATCTCGCCGCAAAATAGTGGGTCATTTTGGGACTTTTTGCATGGTATTTTATGAATGCTGTTAATTCAGACATATTATTTTGTTTCGCCTACTACATAGTAGGGAAGTACGTGATTTTGGATGAAGCCTAAATGGTAAACCAACAGTTAATGTTTGCATAATTGCATAAGAGTATGTTTCTGGCCTGAAGCTTCTTTGTGTTTTATATCATGGCTAGTGAAGGCTGTTGATGTCTGTTTGATTTCATAGTGCATTTATTTTCATGCTCAGTCTGTTTGTGTGTTTGCAGTGGTTTCTGTGCCAAAGAAAAAGAGAAAAATTAAAGACCTGAACAAGAAGGAGGCGGGAGATCTGCTTGATGCCTTTAAAGAGGTCTGTGAACGGTTTGAGGCCAGAAACTGTTTCTTTGTGTTCAATAATAAAGTAGTTCAAGGCCTGTACATTTACAATTTATGCAAAGCTACTGGAATTGCTGTGAGCGATGTGAATCCAAGACTTTCTGAAAATACAGATTTCACAAAATTCAAGCCATATAATGTTACAGATTTGACTTTCTTCTAGTATGGAACGATTCTGTGTGATAAAGTGAGGGATAATTAAAATATATCTACATAGGATTAAGATGAAAGTGACCCGTTATCTTGTTTTAAAGCCCACACCCCCTGAGCCAGAGGCCACACCCCCAGTGAAGGCGGAGCCAGAGAGCCCCGCCCCCGTGGTCCCGCCCCCGGCAGAGGACGTGGATGAGACGTGGGAGGAGAAAGAAGATAAACTTGATGCTGAAAACATCAAACCGCAGAGTCCCACCCCGAGTTCACCCACCGAACAGATATACCAGTATAAAGAAGGTAAATCAGGCCTCTACATATTTGTTTTTGCAGCGTTGAGTAATGTATCGCACACATATGTTGATTCCTTGAATGCAATGTTAATCAGAATCCACTCACTGCTCAAAATACTGGAGTTTTGTTCATTCCTGAGTTATGCAAGCTCACAAATCCTCTCGTTATAACAAACAAAGTGTAGACAGGGTGTAAATAAGAAATGCAGTGTTGAGAGCTTCATTGTTTATAACGCAACTTTGTGAGATCGCGATGAACTGAAGTGAGTGACAGCTTTTAAAGATTATTAAGGCAGTTTGCAAATGTGATATTAAATTAATACAACAGTTCAATAAACAAAAGTTATTATTAAGTGACATAAATTGTATGACTTTAACAATATTGTCAGATTTTGCCAAGATTTCGTCAACGAAAATAGTTTCAAACAAAGTCACAGCCGAGCCGCTGCGGATCTCCAAGCAAACAAAGCGGCGTTTTTAAATGAATCTAGTGAGTCAATGATTAAATTACCTACTCATTCATAAAGACAGTCACTTGCTTCGTTCCTGAATGAATCAGCCGTTCAAACGAATCAATTGAATGAATGATTCAGTGATCAAATCAGTGATTTGCCGCCACCTGCTGGCAGTTTTATTTTGATTTTTAAAGTATCTTTTATGTTATTTAAATCATTTCAATCAAACAATAGTTCTATATTTAAAACTTTAATCTCACAACATTATGAATTTTAAACACCCATGCCACCTCTGAGTGTCTGTAAATTTACCTACATGCCACTTTTGTGTTCATCTGTGCCACCTTTTTAGCGGAAACTAATTTTGTTAATATTGATTTCTTTTGATTGATAACTTATTCTTCTTATTCTACCTGTTCATACTCTATTTTTTTTTTTGTGAATCCAAGACTTTCTGAAAATACAGATTTCACAAAATTCAAGCCATATAATGTTACAGATTTGACTTTCTTCTAGTATGGAACGATTCTGTGTGATAAAGTGAGGGATAATTAAAATATATCTACATAGGATTAAGATGAAAGTGACCCGTTATCTTGTTTTAAAGCCCACACCCCCTGAGCCAGAGGCCACACCCCCAGTGAAGGCGGAGCCAGAGAGCCCCGCCCCCGTGGTCCCGCCCCCGGCAGAGGACGTGGATGAGACGTGGGAGGAGAAAGAAGATAAACTTGATGCTGAAAACATCAAACCGCAGAGTCCCACCCCGAGTTCACCCACCGAACAGATATACCAGTATAAAGAAGGTAAATCAGGCCTCTACATATTTGTTTTTGCAGCGTTGAGTAATGTATCGCACACATATGTTGATTCCTTGAATGCAATGTTAATCAGAATCCACTCACTGCTCAAAATACTGGAGTTTTGTTCACTCCTGAGTTATGCAAGCTCACAAATCCTCTCGTTATAACAAACAAAGTGTAGACAGGGTGTAAATAAGAAATGCAGTGTTGAGAGCTTCATTGTTTATAACGCAACTTTGTGAGATCGCGATGAACTGAAGTGAGTGACAGCTTTTAAAGATTATTAAGGCAGTTTGCAAATGTGATATTAAATTAATACAACAGTTCAATAAACAAAAGTTATTATTAAGTGACATAAATTGTATGACTTTAACAATATTGTCAGATTTTGCCAAGATTTCGTCAACGAAAATAGTTTCAAACAAAGTCACAGCCGAGCCGCTGCGGATCTCCAAGCAAACAAAGCGGCGTTTTTAAATGAATCTAGTGAGTCAATGATTAAATTACCTACTCATTCATAAAGACAGTCACTTGCTTCGTTCCTGAATGAATCAGCCGTTCAAACGAATCAATTGAATGAATGATTCAGTGATCAAATCAGTGATTTGCCGCCACCTGCTGGCAGTTTTATTTTGATTTTTAAAGTATCTTTTATGTTATTTAAATCATTTCAATCAAACAATAGTTCTATATTTAAAACTTTAATCTCACAACATTATGAATTTTAAACACCCATGCCACCTCTGAGTGTCTGTAAATTTACCTACATGCCACTTTTGTGTTCATCTGTGCCACCTTTTTAGCGGAAACTAATTTTGTTAATATTGATTTCTTTTGATTGATAACTTATTCTTCTTATTCTACCTGTTCATACTCTATTTTTTTTTTTATTAGAAATTTTGGAAAAGCTTATAAATATAGATTTTTGAATTTGACATATGACATACTTTTAAAAAATGCATTACAAAGAATACAAAAAATGCCCCTGTAAATCATGTTAAGGAGTCAAATATTACTTTGTAATGGGAAGGCTAATTTCTGTTATTGATCAGGTGCTCCTTAATTTTTTTAGATTAAAGAAGAGTAAGCGTAGCACCCTGTAAATGAGCATCTGATTCATTTCAAAGGTGCTGGACTTATGTAACGTAATTATTCAGATCGATTAATCAGTTACAGATTATGGTTAAAAATTAGTGACAGATATATTGGTCAGGCCAATTAATTCTAATGACGTGATTCTTGGGTAGCTTCACGAAACCAACAAGGTGTGTGAAAAAGACAAAAATATTCTATGGACAGAGAAACTGGAGAAATTAGATGAGTCAAAAAATCTAAATATGAAGTTTTCACCAAGATTTGAAAACAATAAAAAAAAATATATTTTTCTCATAAAAATTGTGATTGCAATTGTTGTTTTTTTTTGTTTTCAATAAATTGCCTATTCTCTATTTTTTGTCTCTTGCTCCTGTTTCTTCTTTCGGCATTTTGAAGCAGTACTTACAGCCTGGTTACGATCCACCAGCGCGAAATGCAAATACTTGTAATGTTTCCTCCGGTCTTAAGATTTTGTTCAGGAGTGTATTTTTACATATGCATTCTTTTATATATGCAGGTTATTATTGTAACTAAAACAAAACCAAAAAAATAAACATTTTCGTCACTTTAAATAAAAAAAAAAACAAAATAGAATAAAATATAAAAAAACGAAATTTTCCGTTTAATTTAACTTGATGTACTAAAAGAACTAAAACTGAAATAAAAATTAATTAAAAAAAAAACTATGTAGGCATTAAATAATACTAGTGCTGGGCAACAATTAATCGCATCCAGAATATTTACTGTGTATATTTATTATGTATATATAGACACACACATACAGTATATATTTTGAAAATATTTACATGTATTTACAGATAAACTTGATGCTGAAAACATCAAACCAGAGAGTCCCACCCCGAGTTCACCCACCGAACAGAAATACCAGTATAAAGAAGGTAAATGAGGATTGATAAACTGTCCAATTAAAAAAATTGCATTATATGCATAATCATGGATTGGGTTTTATCATTTGTTGAGGAAACAGAATCGCTAATAAAACTGTCCTTGTTTCCCACAGAACAATGGAAACCGCTGAGCCCCGAGGAGAAGAAGAAATACGACCGAGAGTTTCTGCTCGGCTTCCAGTTCATCAGCGCCAGCATGCACAAACCTGAGGGTCTGCCGCAGATCTCAGACGTGGTGCTGGATAAGGTAGCTGAAGCTTACACACACACACACA